CTAATTAGAAGTAAAGCTTGTTATCTTACCGTTGCTGTGCCGTCATCCTTCCTAGCAGCGAGCTCACGTTCGCACTTCTCGTCGAGCATCTTGAACACTTGTGGATCAAACTTGATACTGTTGCCATGCATTATGACTTTGTCCAGATCGGGGATGAAAACCTTGCAGTCGAACTCATCGAGGCAGTAAAGCATGGCGGGGAGCATATATTACAAGTGCACGAGACCGCAGTGAGAGCATGGCCAGAAACGCGAGTGTGCACAATCCCACGCTTGGCGGTCCTCATGGACGAGATGACAGCGAGCGCAAACAAAAGCGCTCGGCGGCAACGCGTGCTCCGACTCCGGCGCCATGGAGTCCGGCACGAACTCGAGGGACTCCGGCACCATCTCGGAGTCCAGCGGGGAGGAGTCGTCCTTGGGCGCCACCTCCAACTCCGGCGGGACGGAGTCCTGCAGCTCGACGAGAAGATCCGGAGCCACGGACTCCGGCGCGATGACCATCGAGTCCGGCGACAAGGAGGCCACAGCGAGCGGCGATTCCGAGTCCAGGGCGAGCGGCAAGTCGGAGTCCATGGCGAGGACGAAGAGAGGCGCGGCGTCTCGGCCGAAGAGAGGCAACAAGCGAGGAAGGAAGGCGAGGCGTGCGGCGTTAATTACGTCGGGGAACGAAGCGTGCGACGCGACGCAATTACTCCGTGTGCGGCGCGGCGCAAGTACGCAGGGGCAAAGAAGTCCAAGACCCACGCCTCGCCACACGGACGACTTCTAATCTGCTCTGGCCGACGGAGCGCAGGACGACTTCTAATATTAACCCGGAGGGAGTACTCCCTAGCGATTATGGGGGTGTGCTCCATGTTTTCCCACCATCATTGTCGTGTCCACCTAATTGGTCGGAGTTGTGCATTGCCCAACCAAGTTGCAGCACCCTGCAAAATATGCCTAGTGAAGCAGCAATCCTAAAAAAGGTTCATCGTTATCAGACACCCATTAGTTTGAAGCCTATCTGATGTCCATCTACGGTTTGCAGTTTGTTCGGTTGGCTGGTTCATATCGTTGCTGGTTCGTGAAGAAATACTGCTTGCTGGTTTGTGTGAGAGAAAAATATTGTTCCGGTTAAAAATTTATGATCGTTTACGACAAACCACAGCCAAACGAACAGGCTGTTGATAGCTAGCCACTGAGAAGAATTCGCACTATGAGGGTGCCTAGGCTTTTCAAATTAGGCTATTGAAGTTGGTCAATGTGTAGCTATGTTTGATTTACGACGCTCCAAAACGGAACAAATTAGGCTTTGTGGACCGAAATCTTTTTTTTTTGGAGATATTGAAAATGTCTGACGCCAAGTCTAGAGGTCGTTGCCCATGTAGCAAAGCATTGTTCGAGAAGGAGGTCCTCCTGCCCTCTCTCAATAAGATGGATGTTTGCTACTCCAAATAGGAACCTGTCTGTTGAGTTGCAAGGGGTGTTTGAACCAACCCACACCCTTTCTTCATGATTCCATTCCTGACACAAGCATCTTAATCTCATGGCCCTTATAAAATTTCCTAGGCCATGTTTAGATTGAAAGTTTTTTCAACCTGATGAATAGTACCACTTTCGTCTTATTTAGTAAATATTGTTTAATCGTGGACCAACTAGGCTCAAAAGATTCATCTCGTGATTTCCAACTAAACTGTGTAATTAGTTTTTTTACCTACATTTAATACTCCATGCAAGCGGCTAAAAATTAATGTGATGAAGAAAGAGCAAAAAAACTTGGAATTTTGAAGGGAACTATACAAGGCCCTAGATGAACTATGCCTAGCCCCTCAAAAGAGTCAGCCTTTTGGAGCGTGACTACTTCAGCGCGTGTTTAGTTGAGGTTCAAAATCCAAAAAAGTGCTACAGTATCTGTCACATCGAATGTTTGCGGTCCATGTATAGAGCATTAAATGTAGACGAAAAAAAAAACTAATTGCACAGTTTAGTGGGAAATTGCGAGACGAACGTTTTGAGCCTAATTATTACATATTTGAACACTAATTGCCAAATAAAAACGAAGGTGCTATAGTAACCCTAAATTCCAAATTTCTGGAACTAAACAAGGGCTCACTTTGCATTTCCTACCAATCAGTGTTTCGGAGCCGGCCCACAAAAATAATTTGCAGGCATAGCGGGTGTCCGCTCGCTGCAGCCTGCTGGCCGCAACCGCCCACTAGGCCTAGTGGCCAAACCTTCAACTCTTCTTCGAAACTGCCCAACCCGCCCCTACCTCAACCTTTGGATGTGTTTTTTTTTCTCCTCGCGTTAATTTTCCTGTGGAAGAATTTTGAATGGACATCTCCTAGTTTGATAATTGAGACGGGAGGGCGACCGAACTAATCGGCGAACGCTCACTAGCAATGAAATGAGCGAACGATATTCGAACATCTACAATTTCTTCTTTTAGAAAAAAAAATAAATTCCCATATCTTACCATATTTGATACTGCTATGCGCTCCGTTTAATCTTTTGGTGAGCGCACGACGGACACCCCTAGCCCATACCTTTGACATCACCCTGACACAAACTAAAAAACCATAATATTTATTTTAAAATGTTATAACGGTGTACTATTTTTTAATTCTGTCTGCACCGGTGTGTTATACGCGACGAGACGAACAAAACTAGACCACACTTACATATGTTTCGAAGAATTTTATTCTAGTAGCAATGTATATGTATCAACTTATAACATATAACTTATAACATATAACTTTAACGTATAACTTATAATATTAACTTAGAAACATAAAATTTATGAAACATAACTTATATGTACCAAAGTTATTAAACACAAAAGAACGAATTACCTTATAACTTATACCAAAACTTAGAAACACAAAGGAACAAATTAACTTATAACTTGTAACAAAACTCGAAAACACAAAAAGTTATAAAACACAACTTATCTAAAAATGTTATCAAACGCAACTTGTGTACATAAGTTTTTTATTCAATTTGTGTACATAAGTTATGCTATACAACTTGCCAACGTTGACAAAAAAATTAAAAGAAAAATATTTAAAAGAAGGATAGAAAACATAAAAAATGAAAAAAATACAAAACTATTACTTATACCAAAACTTGGAAGCACAACTTATGTAAAAAAGTAATCAAACAAAACTTGTGTATATAAGTTACTTTATACAACTTGTGTATATAAATTATTCTATATAACTTGCCAACGCTTGAAAAAATAATTAAAAGAAGGATAAAAATGAAAAATGAAAAGAATACTAAAAAATCACATAAAACAAAACTAAATAAAAATAAAAAGATAAGAAAAAAAAGAAAAGGCTAAGTCTATAAAGGTTGTACACGTGAAAGTAAAAGTAAAGAAAATGAATAAGACACATCTGTACATGTCGCATAAAAAATTTGTTTGAGCATAGCCCCACTGCGTCCGTTAAACACAGCGTGGCCTGTCATTCACTGTGATGCACCGGAAAAGGAAAGAAAAGTAGGACAAGGTAGGGTCATTCACCACATTAGAATCGCGCGAGCGACCGTGGGATTGGAATTAGTGTGGGAGAGGCCCTGTTTGGCTCTCTTGCTCTCTCAAGGACAGCGAGGTCCAGCACTCGTGTTTTGAATGGTCTTGTGATAAGCAAGAGAGTGGTTGCTTGTTTCTCTACGTGGTTCCGTTTCGGGCTGTGCACTCCCTATTCCCTAAATTTATATTTGATTGACAGAAGAATTATTTAGCTATAATTAATTTATTTGGGTGGAACAAAACTCTATGTTAGGGAAAAACATTGTTCACATAGAACATTAAAATTTATGCACATGGAACAAAATCATGAAATTCGTTGAACAAAAACATATACAACTAGAAAAAAATTGTATGCTTAGAAGAAAGTGACAACTATTGAACGAACTCGGGGAACATAAGCTTGTTGTACACCTGCGTGCTGTGCCAAGTTCCTCTCGCTAGATAGGCTGAATTTTGCTCAACCTGGGCCCAAGTAAAAAAAATAGAAAGAAAGAAAGCTAGCTATCCTAATAATTGGACATGGTCCACTTTCATGATAGCTCTGTACAATGCGGCTGGACCGTATAATTCCAGATTTTTCAACTTTTTTTTTTTGAGCAGAGTATAATTCCAGAATTTTCAGACAGGCCCAATCTTCTACCAACATTGTTGGGCTTGGCCCAGTTGTGGAGTCCTTGCCAGCAACAAAATCTTGCTCATCGACTCATGATCAGACGGTTGCCGTTTCACACATCCTTAGGGTTTCCTCTCCGCCCATAGCACAGCCGCCGTTAAAAGGCCAGGAGGGGCTGCCTGTGCCGGCTGGGGCGTTGCGCGGCGGACTGGTTGTGAATTGTGATACCCCAAATTCGTTTACGCTATGTTTATGTTTCTTCTTTCGTTTGATTTTGTTTTCTCGTTTCTCGTTGCTATTCGTCTTCTTCCTTGCTTCTCGTTGCTTAATCTTGGGAGCAGTGATGAGATCATTTTAGTATGATCTTTGAGATGTGATTATCGATCTCTATATTGCTACGTTCTTGCTGAGCTCCTAGCACCATGCGCACATATTTTTAGTTCTATATTCTATTTGGATTCAGGGTTCAATCTGGTTTTAGCGTGATAACTCTTGGATTCAGAAACGCAGAAATTTATCTCCCTGCGATATTCTTGGCGCTGTTTCCCCCATTCCTGGTTATAGCGTTTTCTTTTAGCCACTAATAAGGATATATTTGAATCGAAGAAAGAGTCAAGTGCTAAAGGTAATTTCTCCCGTCTGAATAAAAACATTAACACCAAGCTGAGACTTGTTTGATCAACTAAGACAACCACAACTCAACCATAACATACAAGAGTACAGAGGCATCGATCGCAGAATCGGTTAGCCTGGCAGGACGTGACTTTGAATCTCAAAACAGTACTAAGAAACAGAGCATAATCTTCGATCCATCCTCGAGCTTCCAGCCAGCGTTAGTTGAAACCTGCACTTGTTTGCAGAAAGCTTCAGGTTAGGTACTGCTACTGAAAATAGTTGGTCTGAAACGAAGTTGAGAAGGCCGCCGCATAAGGATTGGATTGTACCCACCCAGCTTGAGTTCCAGGCCGCTGCTTGGTGGGGTCGACCCTCCTTCCTCGTTGTTGTTCGAGGCCTGAGAATGAGCAAGCTGCAGGCAAAAAAATACAAGAAATTCGGCACAGATTAGAGACTAGATGCAAGAACATACGAAAATAGAAATTTCTATAGTACACAAAGGCAAAATTAACATAGGGAGCAAAATTTTCAAGAAATTCTGCACTAGATGCAGAACATGCGAAAATAGAAATTTCTATAGACAAACGCACAAAAAATCAGAATTAACAAAGGAAACAAAATTGATTGATGTGCTCACAAAGCCAAAATTGATAGCTGTTAGTTCACTTTACCTAGGCTGCATCGGCTACCTGTACATAGCATGATGCAGCTGCTTGTGGTAGCACTGTAGTCTGTAGTAAAGCGAAAGACGAAAGCTGTTCCACCAATCCACCTTCATGAGCAAGAGCGTGAAGGGTCTACATGTTGTAGCCTGGCGACCGTTGCGTCACTTTTTCGGCCTTAATGGAGCAGTGCTCGTGACACTAGCATGAGTAGCGCATGGTTCCTCTGAATGGATGGACATCTATTTCTCTTTGCCTATACTCCATTTTCGCTGGAAATCACCATCCTACTACTTCATTGTGAGTGTCTATATTTTCGTAGGGAACCACCGTCCCATTTCGCTGAGCGTCTATTTCTGTAGGGAACCAGTATCCTATTTCATTGCATTCAGCCTGTTCGTTTGGCTGTGGCTTGTCGTAAACGATCGTAAATTTCTAGCCGAAACAGTATTTTTCTCTCACACAAACCAGCCAGCGGTACTTCTTCACGAACGAACAACGATACGAACCAGCCAACCGAACAGGCTCTTTGAGTGTGCAAGCATGAAAGAAATGCCTATTTTTGATAGACTCGTATAGTTGCTACAATCTGTATACGTACTCTTGGCTCGGTTTCAACTATCAAGTTGTACTCTCCTCCATCTCAAAAGGAAAGATGGGAGAAGTCCTACCGTCACCAAAATGATGAAAGCTGAACTCAAGAGTTGCTGAATAAAATTCCCAAATAAGCCGAGCTCAGAAAGATTGTTTGTTTATCTGCTACAAGCGGCTAAGGGCGCCACCAATGAAGACCAACACTCCCAGTAATTTTAGTACAAATAAAATAATCCACATAGACTAGAAAATGTTGAGACTATTATTCACACAATACAAACTATCACTACTTATGGTTTGTAAAGAAACTTTTTCTTTTAGCATACATCACATTTATTTACTCTCCCTCTTCTTTTTTAGCATAGACCACATTCTCTCTTCCAAGCATACGTAGCTTGTGCAAGCCACTATGACAAGTATAAAACACCTAATTTTTTTATCCGATCCTACGTGGCACTTAGGGCTAGAAGTAAAATAGAGAAGGCCTAAGCGTAGGTAGGAAGATTCTTTTTCCTGTTATAAACTATCTGTTGGGTTGTTTGGACGGTGCAACGAATCAAGAAATGTTCTTAGACAAAGAAATGTACTTAAGAGAGTTAAGCTCACATGCTACCTCTTTATACTGCTCCCTCTGTCCACAAGAGTTTTTTGAAGAGTCAAACAAATTTAAAGTTGAACAAAGTTATAAAAAATACTAAAATTTATAATACAGAACAAGTGTCATTAAATTAATTATTAATTATAATAATATATTTTTTCGTAGCAAATCTACCTGGAGACATAAATGTTATACTATTGTTTACTATAAATTTCATCAAGTTAAAGTAGTTTGAATTGAATAAATCAAGTAGTTGCATTCTTTTGTAAATTGTAAAAGGAAGGAGTACGTATTTGGTAGCCACACATCTACCCAAGTAGCAGAAAATAACAGGTGGTTTCCAAGTTAAATTATGGGCATGAACAGTGCTTCTAAAATTGTAGTATCCAACAGAAACTGGGCTGGACTGTCCAGCCGCCATCCGGGGACTACCGGTAGAAGTAGAATGGGCCTATTTCAGCAATGCTAGTGCAGTATCGGGGTTCTGAGCGTCTGGCTCAAAAAAATTTCAGTGCTATATCAATTAAGATGCCATATTTGTGCAGAGGCACTCGTGCGCCGTGCGTTACGATTTGCGAATAGTGGAATTGGAACACGGAAGAAGGGACTGAACAACAAGATTTGCAAAAAGATCATTTGCTCACCTTGTCGCACAACCCGTAGCGCTCCTCGTGGCGTCCTCTGATCTGCAGCCAGCAGAATCGAGAGAAGCTATCAACCATCTAATCTAACTAATCGAGGGGAAGACTAGCCAGGGCACATCAACATCATCACAGCAGAGGTGTGCAGTCGGCGTGATGCGATACGTACGATGTTCTCGAGGTAGTTGATCTCGCCGCCGATCTTGCGGTCCTTCTCGGAGCGCACCTTGTGCACGGCCGCCTCCAGGTTGTGCTCCAGCAGCTCCAGCGACGGCACCGTGTACTGCTCCCCGTCGTCCACCGTCATGAACCGCAGCTCCTTCTCCATGAGCTCGCACATCTGCTCCGCCTTCTCCAGCTCCGCGTGCCGCTCCTGCCGCCGTCGTCGTCGAGCAAGAGCATCATCATTAGTTCATTACTGCTAATAAGAACATGCATGCTTTGCCACGTGCTCTACTCACTTAAACAAAATTACCTGGCGAATGTCGGTCCAAACCTTGGTGTGCGTCGCGGCCTCGTACCTCTCGACCAGGTCCTTAACAGAGGGGACGGTGGGCGAGAGGTAGTGGTAGAGCTTGCCGGAGGTGGAGAAGAGGAGCAGCAGCAGGTCGACGTCGCACAGAACGGAGAGCTCCCTGGCCTTCTTGAAGAGGCCGTCCCGGCGCTTGTAGAAGGTGGACTGCCGCTGCGTGGGGTTCTCGATCCGCTTTATCTCGCTGCGGCCCCGACCCATGTCGTCGTCGCTCCCCTCCTCGTCCCCAACTCGCAAACGCGCGGCGCCGCAACCCTGCCCCCGCGCGCCACCACGGACCACGGCGTTGTTGCGAGAATATGGAAACCGAGCTAGCTCTACCTCGCTGAGCTCGGCACCGTGAGCTGCTCGCTGGATGTAACAGTTGAGAGCGGAGGCGAAGCGAGCGAGCGAGACGGTGCGTGCCGAGCCGAGCTATTCGTTGCCCGTTGCTTGCTTTAAAGAGGGTGAGCCGGCGAGGGTGCTGGTGGTGGCAAAAGACAGTAGGAGTATGAGGCCAAGTGCTCGTAGTAGCGACACATGATAGTCTAGTGACTTTACTCTAGCTGCTCCACGCTCTGTCTAGCCTCTAGGTAGCTTTGTCGTTGTGGCCGCCGGCAGTTGGTTGGTCGTTCGTTCCCCAGTTGCCATTGCCACTTGCAAGTCGCACGCTGTACTGCAGGCCTTGCAGCTTTGCAGTTGCAGGGGAAGGAGGGAGCACCGAGCACGGGCATGGCTGGACTGGCATTGCGACGTGCATGAAGGGACAGAGACGTGTCGAGGGCTGAGTACAGTGGATCCATCGATCATCTCCTACAGTACTCGTACGTAGGAGTGACAGTAGGCTTGTAGAGTAGAGAGTATATATAGTGGTGGCTGCTGTATTATTACAAGTACGCACACGCACCTACGGAGTACGATACAGGAGTAGATGTGACCCATGCGCTTCGCGTTTTCTTTGCATTGCTTTTTCTCTGATAAGGATAACTTGGAAACACATATGTACTTCATCCACACGTACATAAACTCACACCAAAAAGCTGAGATGCAAAGTCATATTTCAATTGTTTGTCTTGTAGTGCACATACAAGTGAAATCTATGACTTTTTCAAAAATGAATTTACATCCCAACTTTTGCATGTGAATAGATATATAGATGCACTACATATGTGTCAAGTTTTAAAAAAATTCAAGTCACAAGAGTGCATTTTTTAAATTGGTTTTTTCATGTTTCCACGTAGTAAGCAGTTTCCACCACATATTTCCTCATCAACCAAATAAGCTTAGTCTTCTTTTACTTCTACTAGCAAATATGTATGTGCATTGTAACGAGACGTAAAAGTTGTTGTGTGGTTACCTAGAGATGCCCTTACCAAAGATAACTGAGTTAGATATCTTTGTTGAATTTATTTGTGCTTGACTTAATCTTAATTATTTCAATTAACTCTAACTTTCAACACCCATAATGAATACTAGGTGCAATAATTGTTTTCGTATGAGAAATTATCCGAAGAATGACTCGGCTTAAATGATGGCTAGCTATAGTGTGTGCAATTTTCACTGGTAGAGAACCGAGCTTTACTTCCGGTGGGGAACCCCCTCTAGTCCCGGTTCCCCACCCGGAAGCAAGCATCCGGGACTAAAGGGGGTCCTTTAGTCCCGTGTCGTGTACCGGGACTAAGGAGGACCTTTAGTCCCGGTGGTAACACCAACCGGGACTAAAGGTGCCTCCCGACATGCCACGATGGCCGGCACCTTTAGTCCCGGTTAGTAATCTGAACCGGGACTAAAGGTTTTTTTTCTTTTTCTTTTCTTTTCATTTTTGTTTTCTTTTCAAAATAGGTTTTCAAGTCGTGATATGTACGCTGCTAATTATACATTTATACGCCGCATATAGTATGTTTCGGTTCAAGCACAATGAACGTATTAAATCACACAATTCAAGCATAGAAATATATATATATATATATATATATATATATATATATATATATATATATATATATATATGAATGCATGCATCATATATATATTAAATGCATGCATGCATATGTGTATTTTACATTATATTATTTCATGTGCATATATTACAAAAGATTGCATTACAGTTGTTGTGACATAACAAGTTTCCTCTCATCCTCTAGCTTGGCTTCAATGGCAAGTGTTGGGTCAAGTAGAACTCGCCTTGGAATCAATGACTGCTCATTAAAAAATCCGCTATAGACTCTTGAATTGCTTTGATTTGGTCTTGCCGTATGACCTTTTCCTCCAACCATCGAGTCTCTGAGTTTGAATTAAAGGAAAATAAATTAATATATGTACATATATATATATATATATATAAAGACATAGTAACACAATCAATAATAATAATTAAATGAATATATAGTGTATTTTTAACGTACTTTGAGTCTCTCTGTAGGAGTTCTTTGGGAGAGCACCTTGATAAACTTGCAAACATAGTAACCACAGTAGTTGTTCTCCTATTCCTGCCTTAGACACCACTTTACGAGAAAAAGATTTGTCATCCAATCTGGTGATCCGGTGAAAGCTATATGTTTAATTAATAAAGATGATGCGATTCAGGGGACTTACTTTCAAAGGGATTATATTCAGTGGCGCTTTGCATTTTTCTATGTGTTGCTTCTCAATAAAGGTTTTCCAAACACTGTCCAATAAAAAATTTGCCACGTCATCAGATATAGTTAATCATCATGTTTGTGTGTATATATAGTTGCTAGAGATCCCGAAATTACCTCTGGATAATATCTATCATATCTTGGTAGTCTTGTTGTGGTTTTCTCATCGAGTCATAGATTATCAAGTGACTTTTCACCAGATCGATGTCCATCAATATCCAGTGATTGTTGCATGTGTTTATAGGATATAACGCATAACACTCATTAATTAACTAGAATCAACATATGAGCCATTAAGGATATGATCGACATGATTAACACTCACTTGAAGTTATAGGGAAATAGTATATCCTTCTTGTGGCGTTGTTCACTAAGAAGTTCATGAGGTTACTCTCTGACTCAGACTTCCAATTAGTCTTTGGAGTAATTGGGTCTTTGAATACTATATGGGGATCAACAAAACCAATTTCATTGCAGCCTTCCTTTCTGAGCTCTGTCATTGTAAATCTGCATATATATAGTACTTGTTAGGATAATTTATATGCATATACACACATATGATGAGTTTAATAATAGATCGAAAGAATTATTACTTACAGGCAATAGCAGCTAATGATAACTTTGTCCAGAGAGGTCAGGTGGCATAGTTGATGAAATTCTGCAAAGTCAACATACATGACATCATCGCCACGAAACCAATGTTCGTCTCTAATTCTGACACCAACGCAGAAGTCTCCACTGGTAGACGCCTGCATGTACCACTTGTTTAGCAGGTACATTTGCGTCCCCAGATCAGATAAGGCTTGAGGGTTGTATAGACTCTGGCCTAGTGCAAATTTTTTCTTCCAAATATCAACCTCCGCCGCACTCTCAATGTTTCCATCACCAAACATCTGGTAAAGGTCGACACCAGTCTCATCAAGAAATTCACCAAGGTGATCCAAATCGACATTCGGAGGTATGTTTGCCTGATGCATTAATCCTAAATTCGAACCATATTCATTACCAACAACTAGCGGGGGGATTGATTGGTGCGCTTGTTGTCCGAGTTGGGCAATGCCTTTCCCTGCCCGCTTCTTTTTCTGTGCCGCCTCAATTGACTTGGTGAGAGTGCGGTCATAGTCTGATAACGTTGATTTGGACGGCTCAAATTGCTTACAAATGAAAAAAAACCACAATAAAGAACCATATATATATATATATATATATATAGTGAACAAAATGAGATAAGACAACGGTGAAAAATGAGAGTATGAGATTGGTAACCTTTACAACTGAAGAATCGACGGAGGAATCGAAGAAATCGACGGAGGAACAATGGAGGGAGGGAGGAAGCAAGAACACTAGTGCAGTGAGCTTCAAAATGTGCTGAGCTCGGGCTCGGGGAGGAAGAAGGAGACGGCCGGGATATAAAGGGGGGACCTTTAGTCCCGGTTGGTGGCTCCAACCGGGACTAAAAGTAACTTTCCAACCCCGGGCGCAGCCACGGCCCGGGAGTAGACCTTTACTCCCGGTTGGAGCCACCAACCGGGAGTAAAAGTATACCTTTAGTCCCGGTTGGTGGCTCCAACCGGGACTAAAGGTCCCTGCCACCTCTGTCTGGCGCAGTAGCCGTTGGGGCAGGGACCTTTAGTCCCGGTTGGAGACACCAACCGGGACTAAAGGTATTTCTAGTCCCGGGCGTAAAAAATTCCGGGACTAGAGCCCATTTTGACCGAGGATCAAAGGTCTGTTCTCTACTAGTGTTTTGTGGAAGAAGATATATAATGTACCTCTGGTGGTCTTGAACTCGTGATCCTTGCCATCACGCCATGGGTCTACATTTGCCATTCGTGAAAGTGAGAAGTATGGGATGAAGGAAGATACAATCTACCCCTCTGTCGTTCCTCGGACTTCTGCACCCTTCTCCCCGTTTCGGTGGGTCTATGACTCTATGTTACCATTGGTGAGAGGGAAAAAAAACATGGGAATGAGAAACGACTTCTCCCTTGGTATTATGTTTGAGAGACTAATGGACGAACTTTAATATTAAAGTACATATAGATGTGAATTTTGATAAAACAGAATGGACCACTCCATTATTTTCATTCTTCCGTCGGTCAAGACATTAGACATCATACATAATTTTATCGTGGCTTCACGTCACATACAAAGTAAAGCGAAGCATCGGCCAAAACTAACGATGGTCAAGATATAGCATGCGCGGCTTGGAAGGTTTGCACGGCATATTCTCTTTTCTACTAGCATGCATACAGCATAGTACTAGTACATATGATCACTTCACAGTTCAAAAAACAAATGCCCGATCGATACTATGGAATGAGTGTGTTCCCTGCCTCCCTGGTCCACGGCCATCCGCGCGCGCCCATCCGATTCCGACCGAGATCCACATGAGCTGTCAAACACCGCCCCCCCCCCACCACCCCCCACCCCACCACCGGCTCCGTTCACGTGCCCTTAAATCCGGCTTGATTCGCTTCTTTTTTTATCCGGAACAATATTTTCTCTCACAGATTCCTTCAAGCCATCCAAATTTCTCTAGAATTCCTCGAAGCAAACATTGCTACTCTTATTAGTGTTTTT